ATTATTACCATGAAAAATGACTCATATACTATTGAAGATGCCAGTTCAAAGTAAACATACATAAAGTGTATATTCTTTTGTTGCATATATACGCGAAATAATAATGATTTAACATTATTATTATAAACACCTAGTGTGCATGTGTTGTTAAATCATTATTACGTATATATGCAACAAAAGGATATACATTTTATGAATGTTCATTTTGAACTAGCACCTTCAATGATATATCAGTTTGTTTTCTAACGTCGAAAATGTCGGATGCATTGCATTACCTTCAGAATTTAATGTACTTTTATTATTGTAATGTACTACTGCTGTTCCGTATTCGGGGTGAATAACTTAATACGCACACACCGTCTTTTCGTATAATAGTTTTGATAGTGTAAGATATCAGTCAAGAACTACGCTACGCTACCGGTCGGGCTGTGTGGCTCCGCGGCAAGGCGGTGGCTTTGTGTTACGAACTATACGAGGTCCTCGGTTCGAGTCCCGGCATCGCGTCGAGCGTCCGACTTATTTTTCTCGGCCTAGCTTACAATAGTTTATTAAAGTCAAACGTATTTATATTCAATTTACAACGTCGAATGTCTATCGCACTGTACCTCGGCTCGCTTAGGGGAACTAGCCCTTGCTCGTTTAAAGGAACTCGCCCTTGCTCGTTTAATTGTCCACCAGTTCGCGACTAGCTGAAGCTTTTAGGTCGCGAATGACTCGATCGCACACTCCACGCTTGTATGATAGCGTTATATTAACGGCTTTCAACGTAATACCGATCAACGCGGCTGGTGGCTACTCAAGTAATACTCGCTCGTGAGAACTATACAACGCTACTGCTAGGACTCGACTGACTACGAAACGCTCGTGACGACTTTATGCCCCTTATACTACATGGGACTCACCCCTTATTGCGCGACCTTTCCTAAAAGTTACCCAAAGACGGTGCATAGCACGTTGGTTAGTAAAAGAGGGACATCAAAGACACCGCGGCCTCTCTAATCCCTACGGCGCCGAACGCCTGTCTCACGACGATGACAACGTCGTCGTTGTAAGCATGTAAGCGAGGAGTGCCGCGTCGCTCGTGTTTTTATGTTAGACGTGGACATTTATATTTGTTCGTATAAACGCATATGCTGTCGTGCACGACCGTCGATTTCTGTTCGTTACATTCTCCCCCCGTTGAGAGGGATCGATCAACAATCTGGATGCATCATTGCGCATTGGAAATCGACTTATAAATAATATTTGTAATATTACGATTCGCATAGCTTAATAGCATGGCTCGTCAGCCCGATAACTATTTTCTAAATAACACACCTTATGCTACATACATGAGCCTTATAGTAATTATACATTATAGCAACTATACATTTATACGTCGCATTTTCATTGCTGCATAGGCAGCGGGCATAAATATTTTGCCGCTCTCTTTATTTCTCCAGCCACGGTCTTCAACGTGGCCGCTCGTACTATACCATCCTCTCCTAGATGTACTGTGATGATCTTGCCCAACGCCCACTAGTAACAGGATAGATTTTTGTCCTTTATAAGGACAACAGTTCCGACGTCGAGCCTCAGTCCGTCCTGAACCCATTTACTGTGCGTTTGAAGTTCATTTAAATATTCTAGACTCCAACGCGTCCAAAAATCTTGTCGCACCTTAGATATGTGCTTCCAGGTGGATAGTCGGTTAACTGGAACACAGGACAAATTGCCCTCGGGAAGTGCTATTAGTGGCCTACCGATTAGATAATGAGCCGGAGACAACGCTAGTAAGTCGTTCGGATCGGAGGAGAGGGAAGTGATCGGCCTGGAATTTAGGATACCTTCGATTTCGATGACAAACGTGCTTAACTCCTCGAGGGTAAATAGAGCATCGCCTATAACTCACTTGAAATGATGCTTAAAAATCTTTACTGTGGACTCCCAGAGTCCTTCGAAATGTGGCGCTTTCGGTGGTATAAAATGCCACGTGATTTTATGATCGATGGCGAATTTACATATGAGGTCCTTATGCTCAGCGGAGTTGAGTAAGGCATACATCTCTCTCAACTGGTTGTTTGCGCCTACAAAATTAGTCCCATTATCGGAAAAAATGTGCTCCGGCAATCCTCGTCTTGCTACAAAGCGCCGCAACGCTGCGAGAAATCCGTCGGAGGACAAGTCGCTAACAATTTCAAGATGCACTGCCTTAATCGCCATGCACACAAACACACATACGTAAACCTTGACTCGCGTGCGGTTGCGATATTTCTTCTCTTTAATATGGAACGGTCCGCAAAAGTCAATGCCGGTGTTAACAAAGGGCGCTTCTTCCCGTACGCGCGCTGCTGGGAGATCTCCCACTTTATATTTGACGACATTAGAATTGAATCGGAAACAACGCACGCATGCGCGAACAATCTTGCGTACTTGATTTCGACCATCTGGTTATCCAATATTTTTGTCTAATAGTATAAAGCGTCGTCTGAATACCAGCATGATAATGTGTTTCATGGACCTCGCGGATAATGCGATCCGTTAAACTGTGCCGGCTCGGGAGTAAGATCGGATGCTTTCGGGCGAATGATAAATCCGACATACGAAGACGCCCTCCAACGCGAATTAAGCCATCATCGTCTAAGAATGGATTCAGATTGGCAATTTTACCCTTGCTTATGGATTCTTTGGATCTGAGTGTTCTAATCTCGTCCGGGAATCGCGCGGCCTGAATGACCTTCAATATTCGTTTCTCAAATTCGTTAATCTCTCTCATACATAATGACCTCGCGTACTCGTTAGTGGGCAGAAAACGCAAGCAATATGCGATAACCCGCAACAATCGGGAGTAAGAAGAGCACCTATCGAATATCGCGGAATCGCCAGATATCGTTGCCAAACAAACGTTCGCCTTTAACTCGGGTATTTCGTTTATTCGTGCGAATTCGTTTGGCCACATAAGTTCGTCTTCGAGCAACCACGCGGGCCCAGTGAACCATGTATGATTCTGCAAGAACGCACGAGGCAACTGACCCCTAGATATTGCATCGGCTGGATTATCTTTCGTTCCGACATGCCGCCATCCCCCAAGACCCGTAAGCCCTTGAATTTCGTCAACGCGATTAGCCACGAAAGAGTTAAGTGAATGAGGCGCTGTATTTAGCCAATGCAAGACAACGGTCAAATCGCTCCAAAAAATCACCTTACTAGGCGTAACGCTTAAGGCGTGACTAACTTCATGGAATAATCGTGCCAACAGCAATGCGCCGCAGAGTTCAAGACGCGGTATTGTAATTGCCTTCAAGGGCGCGACGCGCGATTTGGCGCATAATAATCTGACCGTTATGTTCTCGCATCTCCCTACCGAACGCATGTATAAGCATGCACCATAGCCATGATTACTGGCGTCACAAAAACCATGAATTTGGATGTCATAATAACCTTCCACCAATAATCGACGGTCAACGGAAATTCGATCCATCGTCTCGAGCTGCCTGACGAACTCTAACCATACCGTGTATATACTCTGCGGAACGGATTCGTCCCAGCTTAATCGACATCGCCATATATCCTGCATTATCTTTTTAGCGTACAGCACGACGGGACCCAGCAAAACCAATGGGTCGAAAATTTTCGCGATTTCCGATAATATGTCTCGTTTCGTTAAATTTTTTGCGATTTTAATAGGTCGAATACAATAACATATCTCATCGCTTCGAGCGCACCACGTTATGCCAAGCATCTTCAACGAACGGTCCTCGCTGAATGTAAGACTTGCGTGCAGCGCAGCGGTTGCGAGATCGCTAACAATGCGCTCATTGTTGTGTAACGATGCACCTCGGACTGCATCGTTCCCGGTAGCTACTTTTTGTATATTGTAATTCGTATTGGGCATGAGTTATTGTTATCATTGTATATAGTATTATTCATCCGTTGCATTGTAGCAAAGTTTCGTCGACAGTAGCTATCGCCGCTCCGACCGAACGCGTCCGAAGATCGCCGAACGATCTGCGCTTCGCGCTATCCGCCGCTCCGACCGAACGCGACCGAACATCGCCGATCGATCCCCTCCGCAGGAATTGCCAACCGCCAGGCGATAACGGAAAAGACCGTAATCAAACGAGCGGGAGCAATAATTAGTATATAACGCGTAATTATTGCTCCGGAAGCTCTCTTCTATCCTAACCGCCGCTCCAGTACGAATCCCGCTCCGATCCTAGCTCCGGTGATCCGACGCGAAAAGGGGGTCAAGTGTTCTTGGTCTCCGTCAAGCGTTCTTGATAGTCGATCACCAAAACTCCTGATCCGCTGGCCGTACGACGCGAAAAGGGGGTAAAGCGTTCTTTGCCTCCGTCGAGCGTTCTCGACAGCCGTACGCCAGTATCCTAGAACTACCGCACCGACGCGAAAAGGGGGTGAAGTGTTCTTCGCCTCCGCCAAGCGTTCTTGGCAGTCGGGCGTTAGTGTATCCGTGCCTTACATTTTGCGAAGCGTCCCTCATTGCATAGAGGAAACGTTCACCGCGTTATCCGCGCCGCGAACGTCATCCGCCGCTGGCGTATACTTCGCGTACGCGTATCCGTATTGTTATACCGCCGACCGCGCCTCGCGTCCGTCTTGGGATTCGGAGATTCCCCCGCGTTTCCCACCGTACTCGCGCCGTAATTTACACGTATAGTTTTTCTGTTCGTGCCGTCCGTAATATCTTAGTTTTTCTGTCCGCGCCTCGTTGTTTTTCTGTACACGTCTTGTATACGTTTCGTCTACTTGCCGTCTCGACACGACACACATACACCTGCGTACACCGACACACGACACACACCTGTTTGTCATTCACACACACACACACGCACACATACACATACCTTTGTAAATATACACGATACACGCAATAAACGTTTCTGTCTCTGGTCTTGAATTACTGTCTAATTATTAGTTTCTGCATTCTATCTTCCCGTGCGAACCTTTTTCGCGACTAGCGAAATTTACGACGAGCTGATCTGCGCGAAAATTAGGTTGTTTCAGTTGGAGGCCCATTGCTTAATGCTAAACCCTCCCAGAGCAAGCAACGATATTATTTCATCCCTAATTGCCCTTGTTTCGTCAATGCTGTCATCTCCGGTTAATAAATCGTCCACGTACAAATGCGCTTTAAGGATTTCGGCCGCCCTAGGATGCACATGACCCTCATCATTTGCTAGTTTTTGTAAAGTACGAATAGCGAGAAACGACGAAGATGAAACGCCGAAGGTAAGAGTGTTGAATTGAAATGTTTTTATCTCGCCGTCCTTTCGCCAAAGAATTCGTTGATACCGTCGATCGTCTTCATGCAAGAGTATCTGTAGATACATTTTTTCGATGTTCGCCGTGATAACGTATCTATACACGCGAAATCGAATCAAGTGTAAAAGCAGTTTATCCTGGATTAAAGGACCTGTCATTAACACTTCATTCAGAGATATGCCAGTACTCGTCTTTGCAGACGCGTCAAAAACAACCCGCACCTTAGTAGTGTTGCTTGACTCCTTAACCACAGCATGGTGAGGCATATAATACCCATCATCGATAGGATTCTCGACTACAGAAATGTAATTCAGCCTCATGTATTCCTCTATTACTCGAGTATATCTATCTTTCAACACTGCATTCGCGTGTAACTTTCGCTCCAGTGCCAAAAAACGCTTACGTGCAATAACACGAGATTCGCCTAGACATTTATTCGTTTCACGAAACGGAAGACGAACCGAGTAACGTCCGTTAGGGCCGCGCCGGACATTTTTAACAAAATGCGCTTCGCAAGCGATTTCCTCCTTTGATTTCGGTTTATGCACCGCGACTTCCTCAACAGCCCAGAAATTATCCAATTGAGCTCCTAGACTCGTTAAGTAACATGCTCTTGGAATTGACCGAATAGGCAGCTCTGCATTCCCGGCTACGACCCAGCCTAAACGCGTCTTTTGTAAGTATTTCCTTCACGAGATAAATCGATCTGGCCGACGGAAAACAATGACATTGTCGCTCCCGCACTGATTAATAGATCAATTGGGCGCGGCAAATGAAAATCTGGATCTGCTAATTTAATCTTCGAAGGTATCTTGATTGAGCCCCGTGGAAAAATCTCGGACGGAATGAAGTCCGCTATGGCCGGTATGACTAAGCACGTCAGGTCCTTGGAAAAGTCGCCACGTACCGATTGTATAGTAATTTGCGCTATGCCCCTGGAAGTAGTACCCATAGCGTTGATTGCACCGACCGGCGTTGCGTGTGCTCTGACCGGAAGATGTAAATGCCTTACTATGCTCTCTGATATAAAATTTGCGGTTGTGCATGTATCTAATAATGCTCGACATTTCACGGGTTCACGTTTACCGCGACGTATATACACCATCGCACTTGTCAATAACTGCGGTGCTGTTCTATGAGATATCGCTACAAGGCTTGTAGCGCCGCCGCTGCTTGCATCGGCTAGTCATGAGGAAGATGATATCGCTTCTGAACTCGTTACGCCGGAATTATTAGGAACCGTATATCCATCGCGGTGAAGGAGCGTGTTGTGCCGTTTTTGGCAGATTGTACAGTCGGAGAAGTTACAAGGACGATCCCAATGGGAGCGTAAACAGTTATAGCAAAGCTTCGCATTTCTAATTGTTTCGATGCGTTTGGGTACTGATAATCGTTTAAATTTATCACATAAGTGTAATGGATGTCGTTTCGCGTTACACATGATACAATCGCGTGGGGTGCTTAACACAAAAGCTTTATTCCCCCAATGACCCTGTTTTCTCTTGATCGGAGGCTCGCCCTTGCTCTTCTCGGAATCCGCTGTTCTCGTTTTTTCGCGTTTTGAAGCGCATACTGCAGTTTTATATAAGAATTCATACATTTGATCAAGCTGCGGAAATTCATCATGATCAAGGGTCATCTCCCACTTCTCCAATATGCCTTTCGGCAGTTTACTTTCTAGAATACTAACGATAATCTCAGGCCCGACGGAGACGCCCAATGTCTTTAGCGAAGCGATGTGCTGCTGCGCATCGTCGGCTAGCTTAGATAAGCCGTTCGTACTCTCTTTATCTAGCGCCGGCAAATTTATGATTGACGAAAGATGCCGAGATATTAAAATCCGCTTCACCTCATACGACCATTCCAACAATTCCCACGCATCGGAATAATTTGTCCCGTCCACAGCGAAGATTTTTATCTTACTGGCCGCGTCACTTAATGCCGATTTTAAATAATGCAGCTTATCAACATCCGAGAGATCAGCTTGCGAGCCTATCATGTTGTGGAACGCATTCCTAAACGATAACCATCCTTCAAAATTGCCATCGAATGTCGGCAAGGGGGCATCGGGAAGTTTGATTCGTCGTCTTTTAATGGTCGTTGCACTTTCGCTATTGTTGGTTCGCGTTTCATCACTCGCACCGCTTGTGCTTGCACCAGACATATCCGCTGCGTTTACAATATTCTCAACTCGACTCGCAATGGAATAAAAGCGCTCTTGTATGCTTATAAACTCGGCCTGATGCCCGTCGCTCGGGTCTAGCACCGCGAACTCATCGTTGTGTTCCTCGTACGCGTGATACAGATCGGTTAAGGACGTTCACTGGCTACAATCGTAGCCAAAAGTTTACTACTCGCTCGCTTCTCGGTGCATAGCGCATGTCTCTCCCCACTCCGCTTCCCATGCCAATACGTTTTCTACCCACGCACAAGCAAACGGGGTTCGATGCCTTGTATGTATACACGCACACTAGCCTGTTGAGAAAAGTGGGGACCCGTCTCATAGCAACGGCTCTCCTTCCATGCGGCGACTTACTTCAAGTGCTGTCGGATACACCACTTCGAACTTCGATAACTCAAAAACGGCACCGCTATGGATCCCCGTTTTTTTTTCATGTTATTTCTAGCATCATCCTGCATCATATCCTAATTTTTTAAAACAATCGTATAGATATCACAGTCGCTATGAATTGAAATGTCACTTGAGCGCACGCTTGGGCTATACCTTACATGTTAAAAGCTGCAACTTTGAAAATTAATAACTCGAATTCGGTACCGCTAAATTTTCTGAATTTTGGAGGATATATCGATAATGATATTAATATCATGTAGTTAAAATTAGAAGCATTTTGTATAGAAATCGATTAGCCGGTGAACGTCCTTAAGCGAGTGATCCGCAACTTTAAGGCGACGTTATCTGCTCTACCCTTATCAAGGAGGTTAGTTAAATTGGTAATCTGGAATTTTAAGGATGTTCGTCTTTGGACGAGAAGCTTAACTCTGTCCGACATCGTTTCGTAATTACGATGTGACTAGGATTGAACGACTTACTCTTATTCGGTAATGCCACGTAGAAGATCACCGCCCTGCGCTCTGGATCCGTGGAACACCTTGAATGTTTGCTTCTGCTTGATTAACTTGAGGTTCTCGGACCTCACAGGAGGCACCAATGTTTCGTATTCGGGGTGAATAACTTAATACGGACAAACCGTCTTTTCGTATAATAGTTTTGATAGTTTATTAAAGTCAAACGTATTTATATTCAATTTACAACGTCGAATGTCTATCGCACTGTACCTCGGCTCGCTTAGGAGAACTAGCCCTTGCTCGTTTAAGGGAACTCGCCCTTGCTCGTTTAATTGTCCACCAGTTCGCGACTAGCTGAAGCTTCAGGTCGCAAATGACTCGATCGCACACTCCACGCTTGTATGATAGCGTTATATTAACGGCTTTCAACGTAATTCCGATCAACGCGGCTGGTGGCTGATCAAGTAATACTCGTTCGTGAGAACTATACAACGCTACTGCTAGGACTCGAACTCGACTGACTACGAAACGCTCGTGACGACTTTATGCCCCACTACATGGGACTCACCCCTTATTGCGCGACCTTTCCTAAAAGTTACCCAAAAACGTGCATAGCACGTTGGTTAGTAAAAGAGGGACATCAAAGACACCGCGGCCGCTCTAATCCCTACGGCGCCGAACGCCTGTCTCACGACGATGACAACGTCGTCGTTGTAAGCATGTAAGCGAGGAGTGCCGAGTCGCTCGTGTTTTTATGTTAGACCTGGACATTTATATTTGTTCGTATAAACGCATATGCTGTCGAGCACGACCGTCGATTTTTGTTCGTTACAACTGCGCTTGTCAACTATTTTGATACCACTCTTACTTAGGGCAACATTATTGTCGACAAGCTTTGCTTTAGTCACATCCAAGATAGCACTAGCATCAAGAACTTTCAATGTACTCGGATCTAATGTCTTTATACTATTATCGTTTTATGGTAATTCCTCCTCCAAATTGAACACCATTTTGATCAATTACTTCTAAATTATGTACCTGCAAAATATATAAATATTTAAATAATTTCAATCATTTTTTTCTCTCTCAGAAATTACGTTTATTAGCGTATTTGATTATTGATTATATGTAATAGATTTTATTGGTATAATGTTATTACGAAATTGATTATCAGAACAATCCTTCTTCACGATAATAATTAGTAACTAGAATAATAATTTGTAAATGTATACTTATGAAGATATACGTGATTGAAAACTACTTATAACTTACACTCCAAAATCTTGAATAAAATATAGTGTTTTAGGTAAGAGATTAAACTGTATATATATATATTGTATATAACAGTTTTTTAAAAATAAATCGCAAAAGATCAATATTAATTTTAAAAGAATTCTTATACCAAATTGTCTATTTTAAAGTAATACATTTTATTATTGAAAGATAATGAAATGGTACATATTACCATGAAAAATGACTGATATATTATTGAAGGTGCCAGTTCAAAGTAAACATACATAAAGTAGATATTCTTTTGTTGCATATATACGTAATAATGATTTAACATTGCTATTATAATGTAGATTGTAATAAGGCTCAATAAATTTAAAACTAATGGAGAGAAACAGGGTTACGAGCCAATAAATTCTTTATAAACTTACTATTGTAAACAACTAGTGTACATGTGTTGTTAAATCATTATTACGTATATATGCAACAAAAGGATATACATTTTATGAATGTTCACTTTGAACTGACACCTTCAATAATTTGTCAGTTACTTTCCATGTTAATATATTTTATTATTAGATAATTATTTAAAGTTTTGAAGATTTCAATACTAAAATCAAGTAATTTTATGTTTTGAGTAACTGTATCAAATAAGTTTTATCTTTATTATTATAAAAGAAATGATTTTTTGTGCTGTATTTTATCTTCAGGTTTATTGAAGGGAAAGTCCTGAAAAGAAAAGGGAAAAATCTTTTAAATCCATACCTTTTTTCTTTTCAGATTTTTCCTATCAACAAAGTACAAAGAATCAATTTTTTTAGAATTATATAAGGAACAGAGAATACAAATGAAGGTATCCACCAAACAAATAACAGATCTGGAGACACGGTAGTGTCTCGGATAAGTAACCTAACCAAATGCTGTAAAAAGAAAATTATTATATAAAAAATAATTTGTATTCTTACAGCGGAATTACAGCAGATAATTTGTGTAATAAAGCAGAAAATATCTAACTTCATTTACGTGTTCGTCAATTCTATGCCATCGACGTGATAGATTTCCTAACCTCAATCCTTTGTTATTGCCGAGACTCTTTATCTGATTTTAACGATCGTACAGATCGCAGTGGTCGATATTTATTCTAACCTCACTTACGTGTTCGTCTATGCTATCGATGTGATTTATAGATACTCGTCTAGCGATCACATTTATCTCTTGCGCCAAAAATTCCAGAATGTATTTCCTCACTTCGTAGTTGGCAACAATAACGACGACGACGACGACGACGACGTTTCTTACAAACAAACAAACACCTAGACACCCATTTCCTCGACGATGAACACCTAGACATCCATTTCCTCGACGGCAAACACCTAGACACTCACTTCGTCGAAGGCGAACACCTAGACACTCACTTCCTCGAAAGCGAACACCTAGACACTCACTTCCTCGAAATCAAACACGTAGACACTTATTATACCTCCTTATAAATATTTTATTTTATATTGAATAATATTTTATTTTTAATTGTAAGGGTAAACTGCGCGCGCGTCATATCATCATATGTGATGATACACCATGCAACACTGGTCTGCTGGTTAGATATAGATAGATAGAGTGAGATGATAGATAGAGTGAGATAACACATAAAGTCAAAGGCCCTCTATTATCGAAAAAACGAGATGTACATTTCTCTCTGGTCGACGACGATGACGACGTATCTTAAAAATAAAACGTGAAAATTCACAGATTCGGACTTTGCGTCGGGATATCTCCGCTCGTAGGGCACGTAGAAAAAAAATGAAAGCACTTTTATCATACAATTTAAGTATTTCCTGCAGATTGAGC